TTATTTTTATAATTAAGTAGTTACCGTATTAAGAGTAAGTCGTTTTGTACATATGTGGTTGTATCTATTGATACTCTGCTTTTTTTCAGTCTATTGGTCGAAATTACATTTTTGGACTGACCATGAAAAGTTTTGGAGATATTGTGCCTGTTTACTTTACAACTTTCTGGAATTTGACCTTTAGAGGTGTGTCGACCAGTGTGATGCTTATTGTAAGTGTAGAGTTCGTTTCGTTCAGCATGTTGATTAACCTGGTGTCCATGACCTGATCGATCAGTGTTCTTAATACTGCGTTGAGCTTGTCAGATTCGAACGTTTCGTAGTAGTCGACGTAGGCAGTGCTCAGAAATAATCTATATTATGTATTTTCTCAGACACTAATAGTTAGGTCAGAGTAAAAATGTTGTCCATGGTACTACGGTTCTTTTAAAATGTGGCCTGCTCTTAGCTGTTGTTCATCCAGACTCCTTGATAGTTAATTTGAAATTATCATTGTAAACTCCATGTAGGCAAATGAAAACACGCAGCGGTTACTCTTTAGTTCTTCGAGATTGCCCTTGTTTAAGCCAAAATCGAGTTATTCCAACGCGACAGAATTCTCCTCATTTCACAGGATAGAAAAGCTTTGAGCAAGGGCCTCTCCGGATTTCTGTTACCGCTTGCCTTTGTTATTTCAATTTTGCTTCCATCGCTTCCTAAAGAATTTCATTTTTTCATCTGATAAACACCTCGAACTTTGCCCACAAAGATAATATATGTTGTGTTTTCGACTGTTGGACTTTTGGCAATGGGATGGTTGCTCTTGAAGCAGAGAGTTGAGCATCGCCTGATCGCTTCTATGCCACTTTTGTCCATATTCTTTAATTTCGCCACAGCCTGTCTGTTGGGCGCCACTTCTCTGTTACGTTTTATTAATCTTCTGCCATCTTCAGTCTTTATAAATTTTTCGTTAAAATTCTTTTGAACCCTGAATTTTTGTTTTATATGCCGGCAGAAAGGAAAGTTATATACTTTGTTTTACCCATCTCCATGTTCTTCCTTTTCTCTGACCAATTTCTAATTGTCTTTAACATTTTTTCTTTCACTTTCATTTTATTTTCCATCTCGGTTGCCCGCACTCGTCGTCTGGGTTTATTCAGAAAGTTACTATAGTCCTCCTTTAAGCTTTCCTTCGGGTTACAGACTTCGATTTAAATGACCCGTTTTCAGGACACTCATAGAACTTTTTCGGTCGTTGTCAGAGATTTGCCATCTCTATGACTTTTCTCTCTAGATTTTGGATAAAGGCGCACCTCACTCTGAGCAAACGATGGTCCCTATCGGTGTTGAGGAAGAGCACTACTTAGATGTCTTGCACAGTGCAACGTTTTTGCGTTTCATACGAGCAAAGTCAAAATTTTGTAGGTCTTATTCTTGAACAGGCGTTGCTAAAAAGCATTTCCTTTGTCCCTGGGAGATTTACCAGTCATTCGTATACTGAATTTCGTTCTCTAATACTTTACCTTCGCCTTTTTTCCTCGTCCTACTTTCACGTTCTGGTCCTTCATAGTCCTAAACTTAAGCGTAATCTCAAGCTTAAGATGCAGCCTAAGTTTTACACACAAAGTCTAAACCTTAGCCTAGCTTAAGATGACATATAAGCCTAAGACTAACAACCTTTACCTAAGATTAGAATTATGCCTGAGCTTAAACGTACACTTAAGCGAAAGATAAGTTCTTAAGGTTAAAATTAAGCCTAAGTCTGAGCTTAACCTTAAGCATAAGCCTGTGTCTAAATATGAGATAAATTCTAATCAAAAATCTGCGGCGGACTAAGCTTAAAGATAAAACTAAGACAGAATTAACCTGAGAACTGTAATAGATTAAGCCTCAGCCTGAGCCTATGACTCATTTTAAGTCTACAGCTGCATCAGATTGAACCTAGGCCTAAGCCCAAGCTGTAATTTAATTTAAGCAGAGGTTTATACCTAGGCCTAATATCACGCGTAAGTGAAACCCTTAGCCAAAGACTAAATCAAAGGCTAAGACATGGCATGATTATCAAGAAAGATTAGCCTAAGACTGAAAATGAGATTATTTCCTATGCCTATGCCTGAAGCTACCCCTACGCTTGAGTCCAAGCGTATAAAGCATAAGATTAAGGCTAAGTTTAAGCGCGAGACTAGGATTGCGTTTAAGCATGACACAGATTAAGCGTAAGTCTATGTATAACACAAGCATAAAACCTAAATGACAAGCGAAACTTAAGCGTAGCTCTACATATAAAGTTAAATCAAAGCCTAAGAATGTCTCAGCCTAATGGTAATGCTAAATTGAGCTTCTGTTGAAGTTAAACTCTTGGCTGAAGCCAACATGTAATCCTGAGCCTATGTGAAAGGTAAACTCTATTATTGAATTGTCTTAGAGTAGACCTGGGCTGAAGTATGAGAAACCTACGTTTAACAGGCAAACGAATGCCTCCAGAAAGGAGGGCTCTTGTGAATCCGACCGGCAGAAAGCCCAGGGGCCGGCCAAGATTAAATTGGTGCAAATATATGGAAGGAGTCTGCTCCAGACTCCAGTCGTCTTCTGCCGAAGCTCAGACTGGCGTAGGATCGGGAACGTTGGTAGCACTGTCTAACGCGTCTGCCTCCGCGACTCGAAAGGAGAAGTGGCTATGGAAGATTAAGTTGCCTACGTTTAATCCTAAACCCATAGACGCATAAAACTAAGC